GTATCATTGTGGGGCTGTGCGACCCCCTCTGCGTCTTTGTCGTTGAACGACAAGGTTCCTTCCGGTAAGTAATCTCGAGTCCGTTTCCCCTTTGTGATGGAAAGTTTGGTATGCTTCAGCATTGGTCCCTGGGGGATGTTGACCCCACTGATGATCATGTTTATGACACGTTGAGGTTCCTCTGGTTTGGTTCGTTTATTAGAACTCCTGTTCCGAAAATGGTTATTGGCCCGATCATTGAGGAATTCTCGGAGATGCTCGTTGTTGAACATCCGGGCTACTTCTTCCCATAATTATCGACAATCTTTCGTTCTGTGTCCATGAGTGCCATGATATTTGCACATAAGGTTAGGATCCATTTGGGCTGGATCGGATTATAACGGTTGAGTCCATTTGGTATCTTTGATGTGTCCGATGGCGGACACAATAGCAGAGGCATCGATGCCGAAATTATACTCTGAGAGCCTTGATGCTTCTTTAGGCCCGATGGGTTTGTCGTTGTTTTTGCTAATGAGTCCTCGGTTGTTCTGTCCTCGGTCATTCCTTCTTTCATTTCTCATAGGGTTTCGCCCGGACCCACTGCTTCTTCGGTCCCTATTATATGGTTGATATTGATCCCGGTTTGATCTAGGTTCCTGATCGATGTCTCTCTTGACTCGGTCGGTGATTCTGATGGGGTGTATGGATCCGGAAGGGGTACCGATTTGGTCATCCTTGACCCTTATTTTTGATTGATACCGGTTATGGATGTCGGTCCAAGTGATGGCTGAATATTCTACCAAGTTCTGTTTCAACTGTTGCGAAGTTAATGAGCTTCGAATGTTGAGTCCTTGGGTGAAAGCCTGAACGGCCCAATCATCCGTGACCGGGGGAAAATCCAGCTGTTCCATATGGAATCGAGAAACGAAACTCTCTAAGCATCTCGTTATCCCTCTGCTTTACTTTGAAAAGGTTTGACTTCCTGGTCTTGATCTTTATAGCACCGACGTGTGCTTTTACCAAGGAATCTGCAAGCATAACAAACGAGTCAACAGAATTAGGAGGAAGGTTGTGGTACCATATTATAGCTCCCTTTGACACGGTCTCTCCGAATTATTTAGACAAACTCGATCTCATCATTTTCCAAGACGTTCCCTTTGATGGCACATGTATAAGAGGTTACATGCTCATTTGGGTCGGTCGTTCTGTTGTACTTAGAGATTTCGGGCATACGAAACGTTTTGGGGATCGACTTCAAAGCCGCATTCGGGGGAAAAGACCTTTGAATAAATTTTTTGGAATCCAGGCCCTTCAATATCGGGGGTGCTCCTGGGATTTGGTAGACCCTAAAATTGTAGGTTTCTATCTTTTTATCATTGGTTTTAATTTTCTTTTCCCCTGTTTCTATCTGTTTCGTCAATTCTTCGAGCAATTTCCGTATTTCAGGGGTTAGTCCCCGATTCACTCTCTCTCATTTTTTTTCGAGATTGGTTCGTTTCTACGGATGGCTTCCCGGGGGAGCTCGGGTTCATTCCTGCTCAGTGTTCGACCTTGGTTATGCAATTGAGATGTCGCCATCTGTTGAGCCTGTAGCATTTCGAAGATCATACGCAAGTTGATCCCATCATTTTCGCCGTCGTGAGTGTTTTGGGCAATCAAATGCGCTTCCCTGCGCACGCTATTTTCGGGGTCGGTGGGTTGGTTTGTGTCGATGGCCATATGCGAACATGCGTCGATGGGAACCACCACGAGGATCCTACCAAGATCGACTGGTGTTGCCTCGTTATCGAGTGATGCATTATTGTTCCTGGCGTGGTGGCCAGATTCTGTGTCTATGTTTAGAGGGACAGACTGTGGGTTTGACATTTCGATCCTGACTTGAAATCAGAAACACTTCAAAGAACAAGTGTAAAATGGGGTGTGTTATGATGATTAGTATCAAATTGCCGCTATTATCCTTAGCCCCACGGTGGGCGCCAAACTGTTTTCCCTCAAAATTAGATAACAATTGAATTATTTAGTGGTTTAAAGGATATGCAGATTAACATACAGAGCGATAGATTAGATTTCAATTGAAATAAATAACGATAAATTAACTGCAATTCACGTGAATTGGATGATTTCAGCTTAGGAAAGCTAGCCGCCCTTGAGTTGAATGCACTTTTATTGACACAAAGATACCAAATAGTAAGAACTTAGAGAATGTATTGCTTATGAGTGTATGCTACAATGTATTCATGAATTGTGAGGCCCCATGTATATATTAGAGGAACCTACTTTTTAGGTATTATACTATTATTTCATAAAAGGTAAAAATGTCCTTGATTTGTTGACTGTTGGTTCTTTTTTGGTATATTTCGTGATTTCTGCCGTAATGTCCGGTTAATTGCGGGAATTTCGAATAAGCTGTCAATATATTCCTTGAGACCGTTATAACCGGGACCGGTTATGACTTCGGTAAACTCGAGAGCAAATCTGGTGGTGTCGATGACTAATTTTAGCAATGTTTTAGGTCCGATCTTAATTACCATATTTCGATCTTGGCTGATTGTATTGGACGTAAGATAGAACTTCAAGCTCGACTTTTACCCGATTACGAATATTTCGACTTTGGCGGAGGTTATTGGAACATACGCATGACAAGTTGGCCTAAGCAGAAAAGAAAAATATAAGGACGAGGGACAACACTACCGTTCTCTCAAAAGAGAAATACTACATGTTTGACGTTTTGGCAGCCTCGGCGATTTTCTAAAAGGCCCACAGTTAGGTAATGAGTTCCAAAGTCAAGATTTAAAGGGCCCACGACACTCTAACATAGTGTTTGACCATAGATTCTTAAATTTGTTCTGAAAAATTCGATTTAGATGAAGTTTGGTTTGAAAATGAAAATGTGTTTGGACATTAGTTTTTAAAATATATTTTTCAAATTTATTTTGGAAAACATGAAACATGACTTATACCCACAAGTTCTAAAAACTATCACAAATACTCAACAATACCCTTATCAATAACATTCATTATATTATCGCAAACCATAATCCTGAACATAAATAAATTTGATACAAAATTATCATTTTTATAATGAATAATGAACTACATGATATACTATCAGATGACCGGGAAGATAAAGCAACATTGTTACAAAATAATAAATGGCGGGCTCTTTTATAAAATACAAAAGTTTGGGGCAATTTTTAAAAAATATAATAGTGATATTTTGGCTCAAAATCAGCTATTGAGCTGGTTTTGAAATTTGGGATTTTGCCAAAATATAGACAAAATCTATGACCAAACATGTATTTGTCAAATAATATCCAAATTTATTTTGGCAAAATCTATGGCCAACGGGTCATAAGTGGTGGGGTTTGATAGACAAGACACGTGATCCCAAAACACACACGGTTTTTCATTTTGCTGGTGAAAATAAAGCATATGCAAATTTAGTTCGCCCCTGCGACTAGCTATATATATATATGAATATAAGCCAGAGAAGAAGAGAGATTAAAAAACTTAAAAAGAATGGAATTTGATCTCAGGTACTTGATCTTGATTTTAGTTAACATTCTCAAGTCCATATTCATTGCTTCATCACCTTCTGATCATTGGGATCCTTTCCATATATTTTGCTATCCCTATCCTAGTTTCATGACATTCATTGTTAGGCTCTTCTTCCTTTTTTTATTTTCCTTCATTTTCTCTATCACTTCTATAACAATTCATCATCATCCAATGACAATACGCATAAGTTCAGGATATTTCTCCAACTCCTTGAATATCTTATCTCTAGCTTCACTTCTACTACCCCAAGTGTTATATTGGTATACTTTCTTCATTATCATTACACTTTCTTCTTGGATTTATTCCAATACCTGGACTAGTTTTCGGCAATGGTTTCTACGCATTTTCTCTACAATTCCAGCATTTAGCATTTTCGTCACTGCAGAGTTTGACAACAATAATATGAACCAGCAGCCCCAAACTCAAACAACTTATCTACTGCGGCCTCCAGTCTAATTAAGCGCTGCTGAAGATTTATTATAGCATGTGTTTGTTTCCACATATATAAGTTTTGTATACCTGTACTCAACTATATACATAAATGGATATGTTATCAGGTTTGTCACATAGATTCATTTGGAGCATTAACCATTTTTTGGCCGATGCTGTTGTCTTGTGGGAAGCAACCTTGGCGTAATCGGTAAAGTTATTGTCATGTGAGTAGGATGTCACGGGTTCGAGTCGTGAAAACAAATTCTTGCAGAAGTGTACAATAAACCCTTACGGTTCGGTCCTTCCTCGGATCCCGCGCATAGCGGAAGCGTAGTGTAGTGGGGTGATGTTGAAGTCAGTTGTCAGTTGTTGTTATTCAAATTTGTGATAAGTCACTTGTTATTTAATTATTTCATTTCTCTTCCTCGTTGTTTATTAGTAGTAAGTATTTTTCTTCGTGTAGAAAGAAAAAGATATGTGAATTCGGAACTCCAACAGCACGTCAGTATCATTATACAAAAAAAGAATCTCTACGCAAATAGTCAATTAGATTCACTATTTACTTTTTAAATCCGTATACATAATTATGTACATATTATATATGAATAATATATATACCATACGTATGCTATTTTGGTTAATTCTTCAGAAAAAATCATATCACTCGTGAAAAATCAAAAGGGATTGTTACACAAATAACCGGCCAGATTCAATGTTTATCTTTTCTGGCCGATATACATAGATTATATATTAATCATACATAGTTATACATATATTATACATGAATTATACTTATATTATACATCCGTCTGCTGTTTTTAATTTAAGAGATTAGGTGGACAGCTATTCGGGTTAATTTATAGTTCTGTCTGCTCTAACCAAAATGGCCCAACATATAATTCTGATTGGGCCCAAAAGTTATTGGGCTTAAGCCTAAACTTGTCAAAGCCCAAAAATGGTTTTCCCACACAATGACTTGTGACTCAAAACACTATACTCCATTTACAAACTTTGCACTATACCCCCAAAATATATTAAACAAACACCCAAAAGATCCACAAGAACAAATTTGATACGCAAACATACGCCTGAGATCAAATAAAAAAGATACTCACCTACTAGTCCGGCTATACCCTCACCAATGCCCATGAATTTGAAACGCTTATTTGGAGAAGACGAAGATGAAGAAGAAGAAGAAGAAAATTATTCAAACCAACAACAAGAAGGAGAAGAGAATCAACATCATAAATCATCACCGTCATCACCATCATCATCATCATCGTCATCAGCCGCCGCGTCATCATCATCGTCATCTTCATCGGGTTCATCATCATCAAATAGGAGTAGAAGTAGTAGTGGCGGCAGTGGTAGTGGAAGTGGCAGTGGAAAAGAAGATGATGATAATGGGGAAGTAATTTCTCATAATAATAATAATAGTAGTAGTGGGTATTTTCAAGAAGAAGAGGATGATGATGATAAGGATCTTTTTGGGTCTGATAATGAAGATTATGTTAAAACTCTTTCTAAGAGTCCTTTCCCTGTTCCTGGTAATTTCTTACTTACTATTCTTGTTTTTTTTTTCTTTGAACATTTTGCTGTTAGGTTTTGGAGCTGGGGAAATGTTAAATTGGGTTTTATAGTTGGTTTGATATACGGGTTTTAAATTTTGAAGTGTTTTTGAGGGTTAAAGTTTGCAACTTTTCAGCTCAGTTGGTTATATTGGACAGTTAATTCTAGGATTTGAGCTCCTTTTGGGACATTTTGAATTGGGTTTTTAGTTGGTGTGATAGATGAGTTTATCTTTTTAAGTGTTTTCGAGGGTTAAAGTTTGGAACTTTTCAGGTTTTTGACTCAGTTGGTTTTGTTTGAACACTTTATTTCTAGGATTGGAGCTCCTTCTGGGCCATTTTGTATTGGGTTTTGGTTGGTTTAAGAGATGGGTTTATATTTTGAAATGTCTTTGAGGGTTAAATATTGAAACTTTGCAGGTTTTGATTCTGTTAGATTGATTTGAACACTTTGCTTCTAGGATTTATTAAGCTGACTTTTGGACATTTAAACTTGCTTTTTGTTTGCTCCAAGTGATGGGGTACATTTTATATGTTTCTAAACGTCTAATTTTGGAACTTTTGAGGACTTTAATTCTGTGAGTCTGATTTCTTCTGACTTGGAAAATTTTATGAAAAAAATAAATAAATTCTTTGACTTGGAAAATACTCAATGTTTAGTTTCTTTCCAAGATTGTATACTGGGTGTCTTCTGCAGTGTATAGGATGATGGAGTTCTACATTTTTCGTTTTTGGTATGCTACTATTTGGCTGTTTGTGCGGGTGTTTTAAGTGCATTCTTGTATTAGCACTTCTAATTACCTTTTAGGATATGAAGCTTAAGGGAAATGATTAATTGTAATCTGCTTGTGCAACCCAAATAGATAATCTTTCTGAAGAGTCATTCTTCCCGGTTTTAGTTTTGCATTTCCTTATGGATTGGTTATCGATGCTGACACCTGAGTACTTCTCCTTCTTGTTCTCCTGAACCTTTTTCACGAAGAAGCAGACAGGGAGGCAATGGTCTTTTTTCTTAACCCTCCCATTTGTTCATTGAGCGGAAGAGAAAGATGGGGTTTTCAGCCCATGCTTTTCAATCCATGAATTGCAATTGTAGAAGAGATAAGCCTTAAGCTGATTCATTTGCATTTGAAATAATTTAGTTTTTGTTGATGAAACTGATTACTCTCATTGCATAATCCCAACTCCGAAACAGTTGAACCCAACCAAATAGACTCCAAAGAAAATGTAATTACTACCATTGTTGCTGCCGAGCATCTTTTGTTGCTGTTCTTCTGATTGATATGTGGTACTGTAGTAGCTTGTTAATGCTCTTATTTTAGTGATAGGTATCATCTGATGAGTCTTTTGGAAGTGATCTGCATTTCATTGACTTGGCATTTAACTTGAAGTTCTTCATTTTGGAATCTCACGGAGATAACTCAATCTGTTTTTTTTAAGAGAATTGGCATAGTGAGCTATCAAAGGGTTGTGGATGTTCACGATTCTAAGTAGAAAATGTCTGCTAAAATACTCTAAATTACTCAAATTGCTAACATGATTCATGTTTGCTGTTTTTATGAGAGATCTAAATCAGAAGTATACAGAATTCAAAGAGGGTCAAGATAGCCTTGATTTTACTGCTTCCTGAAAAGTATGCTTAACGTCCATATATAACTTTACACTCATGGAGATGTGACCATGTTGGCACTCTGATGAATAGCTAAATGCATTTGAATAATTAGTGTTTGGTTTTGAATTGTGAAAGAAGAATGCAAAGCTTAACACCATTTTAAGCTTAATTAACATTCGTTTCAATTGCCACTGTTTAGTTAAATATTATCGGGTCGATTGTTGTTTAAGCTCCTCTTCTCATTCTCTTTTGCAGTTTTACCCCCTATACGTAACACTAACCACCACACAAGAGGAGGCTTTGGCCGGGGTCGATGGCAAAACGATAGAGGAGCTGGCATCCTTCCGCGACCTGGACCTTATCCCCCAAGGCAGAATTATGGTTATGGTCCCAAGTTTTTCAACGGCCATCGTGATGAACGCTTTGTCTCTGAATTAAAGTTTGCAAAGAGTGAAGAAACATTAGCAAGAAAATGTATAGCATTTCAAGAGGTAAGTTCTTTCCCTGTTTTTTCATCTTTCCTCCTTTTTGATGTCAAACTACCTAGTTAAGCTCAACGGATGTTTGCCAAGCCGGTTTTAGGGGTACCTGGGCTGATCGAATGCACAGCCTTAACTTCAAGTTATGCCTTTGTTAGTGTGCTGGGGTTTCACTGCTGTTCCAAGTGGGTTCCTCCATTGTGTTTAAACAACAATTACACCTCAATCTTAAATTAGTTGGGTGGACTACATGAGTCTTCCATATCTTTTCCGCTTATTTGTACTCCATTCGAATACTAAGTGGTTTTCAGACAAATTAGGGATTCTATAGTGTGCTACATGTTCATTCATTCTCTACACAATGTTATATCTTTTTTTTCTAAAGCGTAATTATCTAATATTTTTAATAATTCGCTACTGTAGGGGCTCAGCTCGGCCCCCTTGTCATCGAACACTACATTCTCCCCAAAATCTTTGCTTGTTCTTTATCATATGGATGAACTGGGGAATGGTTGGAGCAGAGATGGATTGTGGCTTTGTATGATCGCCCGCCCTTTTCTTTCCCTCTTCCATATCCTTTACAATTAATACCTTCTTGGTACCTTGCTTTATTAAAAAGAGAAAAAGACTTTCTTGGTGCCTTGATACTTTACCACTCAGTGCGTGTGAGAGACTGAAAGAGAGATTGATTCCTTTTATGTTGGTGTAGAGGGAAGGGAAGGTGGGAAATATTGTGCCTCTTTGCTGCTTGCATATTTTCTTCTAATTTACTGTAATCTATTTTTGGGATAATAGCCATGTGAACTCGCGTGCTTCAGTCGAGTTGAAGGTGGAGAAGTCTACTTTGATGACCGCAGTTTGGTAACTATTGTCTTTCCTTTTACTTTTCATTGATATTTCAGTATAACAAACCCCAGAATGACCATTCACAATAGCACATCCCTTTTGTATTATCAGAGGTTATTCAAGCGTCTAATTACTGAAGATGTTGGAGCAGACCTGAATGAAGGTTTTGACACTTTTGTTGAGAAGAAAGGTATATTCTTGAGGGATGAAAGTAGAGAATATGAAACTTCCAGATGATTGATGCTTAGGCTCATAGTTTCTTGTGTTTTCTATCTGCACCTGTGTATATTATCTGACAGATATGTCTCTTTGGAAGATTTGGGTTCTCAAGGTTTTGGTGACTTACTGGCCAGTATCAGGAATAAAAATATACCGCTTGATAGAATGCATTTTGTGGTAAGGATTTGTCGTCTTTTCAAGTTATCTGAACTCCATGTGCTTGGCAGTTGATTTAACGGATTGCTTTTTCCTTTTCCCTTGTGACAGACTTATCGCAACAACCTCAACAAGGTAACGTTGAATCTCCTCTGACTAATGCTTCAATAATGCAGAATGACCAGTTTCAGAGTATCAAATGTTGATTACAGAGAAGATCATTAATCTGCAATATTTTTGGTTCACCAGTTCAAAACAGGAGACCCTTGATTTGATATATTAATAGTTCATTTTGTCAGCAATAACTGCTTTTTGAACTGACACAAACTAATATGCATTTGTATGCACTCTTCATCTGGTATCCTTGGTAAACAGATCCAGATATAATTGTTCAGTTCCCATGATACTGAGTCTGTTAACACGTGTCTCGGGTATCCTGTTTGTCTGCAGATAATGGCTACTGCTTATCTCAGGCATGAACCTTGGGAAATGGGAGTGCACAAAAGAAAAGGGGTTGTTTATCTTGACGTACATAAACTGCCAGAAAGGCCAAAGAGTGAGCTGGATCGGAGAAGGTTCTTGCGTGCTTCCAAATTCTTGCTTTTAAGAAAAAAATTGCATGTTTTTTGTGGACAATGCGAACCGTCCTAGAAGGTTTATAACTTTCAGTTGTTGAGTTCAGATTTTATAGTTACTTTCCAGCCAAAAAAAAAAATTTAGAAGCTCACCATACAAAAGAGCTGCTGATTTCCATTTTCCTGGATTAGCAATGGAGTTTGAATGCAGTTTCTCTCCTTTTCTCCACCTTTCCATTTTCCTTTTCCTACTTTGGGGAACCAGACCCTGGTGTTTGTTTTTGGTGGTGGCGGGGGGTGGGGGGATCCCTTGTGCATAAGTTATACACTTTGTTTCACTTGGCTCTATTATAATTAATATTTGGGCGACAGAAACTTATTAACTACAATGTCATTGGAGTATCAGCACTACATGTAATTTATAAACCAGTTGTATTGTTTTCACGATGAAGATGTCTATTAGAGTAATTATTCCTTTTCTATTTGTTTTCATTCTTCGAAAATAAATTAGTACAAGGGGCAATGATAAGATATCAAATAATTCTAGTTGGTCACAAACTATGTTGTGATCAAAATATCCCCACATATCTTAAAATTTTTGACAACATAAAAGTAGTCTCTTTTTTCTTTTTAATAGTCAATACTACTACATCAGTTTTATTTAAAAAGTATCAGTTATACTTATTAGAAATATTAATTTTTGTAGTAGTAACAAAGTTGATTAGTGTAAATTTGTTAATCATTAGAGACAACTGAATATGCTTTGCTTGCTTGTCTTTCTTCTTGTTTGAAAATGCTTCTTTTTCACCCTTTAATCTTAGGTGTTACTGGGGATATTGTTTCGAGAGCCTTGCAACAGAAGATCCAGCACGCTCTGATGGAGAAGGGATACACCATGTTGATGCCAATGTTGAATACTGTGCTGTAGTTAAGACCAAATTAGGGGCACATCGTATTTTAATGGGGGCTGAAATGGACTGTTGTGATTCAACTGATGATGGGAGGAGGTTTTATGTGGAATTGAAGACTAGTCGCGAGGTATGCCTGCCTATTGGGTTCTCTTCCCCTTCTCCATTCTTTCTGATTTTTCACTTATACACCTCATTTCTGCTATTTACAGCTGGATTATCATACTGAGGAAAGATACGAGAGGGAGAAATTGCTCAAGTTTTGGGTATTGACAATGGAAACACATTCCATGCTCTATGCAGATTCTTCCATGCTTCTTATGTGTATTATTTCTTTGTGTTTGAAATACCAAACTTATAATGCATTAACACAAGGTTAAGTTTTGCTATGTTGCAAGCTCTATCCCAAGTGAAAACTAAATAATGAAATACCTAAATTTAACTTTCAACTTTGTTTATCAACTGTTTCTAGATTGTCCTTTGTTTGAAGCTTTCAAATAGTATATTACTTTCACTTATGTCTATTCTCTTTTGTTGCAGATCCAGTCATTTCTTGCTGGTGTACCTTATATTGTTGTTGGTTTTAGGTAAATTTACGTGCTGTACTCTTCCATCTGTGCTTTTCCTTTTCCTTTCTAAAGGCTCGGGGGACAGATCTTGCCATGGTTTCTTCTCTTTCATCTCTCCATTAATGTTCAACAGTAATGAGAATGTTGTTGAAAACATTAAAAGATCTTTCTTTGTACTTAGGTATAAACAGAGGACCGTGGTAAATTTGATATATGCCAGTGGATGACTAGTTTGAGTCATATAGATGTCTTGTACATATCTCTGGCACCATCTTGGTATTTAGTAATAAAACATGTAACCTATATAAAAAAAAAAGAAATGCTCAGTAATCTTCACAAGATTTCAGTTGTGTTCTTTCAGTGACTGATCATGACCCAAGTCAAATTTGTTCAGTTATTTTTTGACAAGTGATCCAAGGTTAACTTTATGAATCTGTAATTGATTTATACTGTAGGGATGATGCTGGTCGTCTTGTCCGCACGGAAAGATTGAGAACTAAAGATATCACTCACAGAGTAAAAATGAAAAATTATTGGCAGGTAATTAATCTCTTTGTTCTGAGATATGCATAAATGCCTATACTTCTGTCTGATAGATTGAGTGAGTTAAAAAGGCATTTATTTCTTGTTTTTAGATTTGTTTTCTTGTTTCAGTCTTTTTGGTGGGTTATGTTTCCTTTCTTTTGCTTTTTTTTTTTT